AAAAAACTTTAGATATGTTTTTAAAATATTTCCTGCATTAATATTTTTTCAAATAAAAATGTTAGGTACTTTTTGGCCAGGACCCAATTTTAAAAAGGACCCAATTTTTAAAAGTGTCAATAGCATAATCTTCTATTATTTTAATAGTTATGTAGTATTAATACGCATGCCAACTAATATTCAAATCTAGTATAAATTCAAAAAAATAAAAAACATTCATAATCATTTGCTAATATTCATACTTTTTCTCTGCTTTATAAAAACTGGTTACTAGCCACAAGGCAATTTATGTAATTGCTTGTTAGTAAGTAATTAGTCTTGACAGGCATGATGGCACACACCTACAATCACTTATAATCCCAGCAGCTGGGAGGCTAAAGTAGGAGGATCACTAGAGCTCGAGGGCAGCCTGGGCTATGTAGTGAGTTCAAGGTCAGCCTGAACTGTACAATGAGACCTTGTCTCAAAAAAAAAAAAAAAAATTAAATTAGCCCAGAGATGTGCTACTCTTTACCAAAGAAAAACATCTCTACCTATGAGGTCAAAAAAAAAAAAAAATCTCTACCTATGAGGTCAGAAAAACATCTCTACCTATGAGGTCACTAATTCTATCTTTTTTGCCCACTGCTGATAAGTAACTAAGAATAGCAGCAAAATTAAACTGCCAAGTTTATATAACTAGAGGACTTCATTTTTTAATAAGTATATTTTCCATAGCATAATATTTTATCTGGTCACATTTACATAACTATTCTGAATCTAGCCTGGTTGATTAGCTATGAACTATTAAGAAGAAAAACTATCATAAGTGCTTTATGTATATTTTCATTTTCTAAATAAATTATTTTTCAGCTTAAGATCTTGTGCCTTCAGTGAGATCACTTATGTATCAACACTAAACAGTGGTAAACTTCTGAAATTAAATTTTAGAGTATTAATGCACAAATACTAAAATATTGAAGTATAGAATCTTAGTCTGAAAAACAGTAATAGATTTCAGTTTTGATAATTAAGGCTACAAATAATCTAATTACTGTACTTCATATTAGTTATTGCATAAAACGCACTGACCTCGACAAACTAGATATTTTTTTTATTTTAAAGAGAAAAGAAACCAAAACAACAACAAAGATAAAAACAAAACAACATAAAAAATAAAAAAGATACAGAATTTCAAAACAATATGATAGGAATTAACAATGGTTGTTATATTACATATTGTTATCTTCAGTGAAGTTGCTCAGATTTCCAGATATAAGAAGGCAAGATTGATCAAACAATTAAAGATAATAAAAAATAATTTTAAAAAAATTAGAAATGATACAGAGTTTCACTAATCAAGATGGTAGGAATTCAACAATGGATATTATATTGCATTTTGTTGTCTTCAAATTAGTTTTTCAGACTACCAGATATAAGCATGCAAAGTCAGCCAAAAAAAAAAAAAAAAAAGACTTAAGCATTAACTGTTCCTTTCAATAAACCAATAGACATCAGCAGTTCAATTATCCCTGCTATTCTTGTATATATACATGTATTTTTTTCCCTTTCTTCTTTCTTTCTTTTCTCCTTTCCCTCATCCCAGTTGTTTCTTCCCTTTGAGCAATTTCTTTCCCTTTCACAATACCTATTGTACCTTTCAGGTTTTATTTAGTCTTTCAAGTTCTTATACTAGGGAGACAATATGATGTTTACACATGCAGGTCTGATTTATTTCACTTAGGAGTATGATCTCTAGTTGCATCCATTTACCTATAAAAGCCTCAAGTTTATCTTTTTTATAGCTAAGTAATACTCCATTGTATAAAAATACCACATCTTTGTTATCCATTCCTCAGTTGACAGTCATTTGGGTTGTTTTCCAAGATTTAGCTATAACCAATGGTGCTGCTATAAACATGGGTGCATATGTATCACTGTGGTATGATGTTTTCAGTTCTTCTGGAAAAATACCCAGAAGGGAAATAGCGGGGTTGAATGGGACCTCTAGTCCTAGTTTTATGGGGAATCTCCACACTGATTGCCATACTGGTTGTACCAGACTACACTCCCACCAGCAGTGGAGAAGGGTTCTCTAAGCGCTTCTCCTCCTTCTTACAAACTAGATATATTAACCAACTGCTTCATTTTTTTTTTTGTTTTCCTTTTTTAATGGAACCAGGGATTAAACCCAAAGCCTTCACACTGACCTACATCTTCATGGCCCTGTCCTTTTATTTTATATTTGAGACAGTGTCTCATTAAGTCCTTCAGATGGCCAGGCTGAGCTCAAAACTGCCATCCTCCTGCCTCAACCTCCCAGACTGCTGATATTACAGACACGCTCCACCACGCCCAGCTAAATTTTGAAATTTTAATTGGGAAACTACACATTTAACAAGAAATTGCCATAACAGCTACGATAATAATATGTCACATTTCCACATATAAGTATTTTATACCACATAATACATATACTTAAAATTGTGTTAAGGAGCTTATATTTAAAGGAAAACAATATATATGTTATTTTTGTTTTGTTTCTGTAGAATTTTATTTTGTTTTGTTGTTGTTTTGCTTTTGTTTGGCTTGGGGTGTTTTGTTTTGTTTTGTTGAGACAGGGTCTCACTATATAATTCATGCTAAATGTGCAGTTTACCAATTAAAATTTCAAGATTTAGCTGGGCGTGGTGGAGCATGTCTGTAATATCAGCACTCTGGGAGGCTGAGGCAGGAACGCACTATGTACCCCAGGCTGGCCTCAAACTCTGTGATCCTCCTGCCTGAGCCTCCCGAGTGCTGGGATTACAGCCATTACGCACCGCCATGCCTGGCTATAAGGTTTTTTATACAAGTCATTATCTCTTAGTTTAACTGGAAGTGGTTATATAGGTTAGAGAGCAGTAAGCAGGAGTTTAAGAATGTAAAAAACTGATATGTTATGAAGGATCCTAATTGTATCTAGAGAGGTAAGTTCTCTATATTCAAAATACTCATGGAAAAAATTCCCCTCTGTTCAACATTCACCCCATAAATACAGGAAGGAATGTTCAGAATGATAAAGCTGGGAAACCCAGGACATCAGCATAGGAAATTTTACTTCCAAACCCAAGTCTCTTCCTTATTCGTTTTTTTTTGTTTTTTGGTTTTTTTTTGGTATCGGGAATCGAACTAAGGACCTTGCGCTTGCCATGCAGGTGCTTGTGCCACTGACCTATCTCCCCGGCCCTCTTATTGTTAACAGAATACACAATTGAAAATGCAGTTCTAGTACTGCTGCATTTCAATCGTAAAGGGATATTGCACAAAGTTCTTTAAAACAATGGATTTTTATTCTATAGAGAAAAAATGTTTTTTCTTCAGGTCTAACATCTAATTATGTAATCACCCCATGGCTTCGGGGAGACCTGCTGGAACAATAAACTCTTACTAGTCAGCATCATTATAAGATAATCTCTGTCCTAATGGAATTGTATATCATGTTTTAACTGCATGAGTATAAACTAAACTTACAATGTCAACATGAGTTCTATCAAAAAGTCAATTCCAACATGTAACCAGCATAAGATTATGTGTCCTTCTAAAGAAAAGTGAATGCTATTTTACAGGGATAGTGTGTATTTTAAAATAAACAAAGTTTAAAATTCTGCTTATAAGTGACCCTATCAAAATGTTCCACAACATTGATCTAACGTAGGGCCTTGAATTGTCTTCAAGTGCTAAGCTACCGAAGTTTCAAGTGCTTAGCTACCAAAAGAAACCAATTAAGACAGCTGTAGCAAGTTTTCAATGCAACTATCAATTATAAATGACACCCAAAGTGTTTTACCTCTTTATCTTTCCGCTCCAAGAGGCTGTGCTGTACCGGGGGCATTAAACTTTCAACTGCTTTGCCCACATCGCTGCGGAAGGAATCACTAGCTGGAAGGCAACTGAACAGAGGAAAAATCAAATATTTACTTAAAACACTGACATTAAACACTGCATCACTTCCTATGATAACAAGGCTTCTGCAGTCAAATGCTCTTCCACTGAGCTATACCCTTGATAACAAGGCTTCTGGACAACGATCAAAAGGAAGGATTTTTCGGTTTTTGTCTATTTTTTGAGGCAAGGTGGCGCTATGTACTTCAGGCCAGCCTTGAACTCACTGTGTAGCCCAGGCTGGCCTTGAATTCATGGTGATCCTCCCACCAAGTGCTGGGATTACAGGCATGCACCACCATGCCCAGTGAATTTTAGTTTTAAAGTCTAACTTCCTATTTACTACGTACCTGGCAGGTAGTTTGTAAATGTAATTTTGCCCATTTTCAGTCCAGATGATGACTTTATCTGCTGAAACAAAGTCACCTCCAGTCCAAGTCTGTCCGTTTTCACTAGGACCAGAGCACAACAGGGAATAGTCTCCAGCATCGAACACCTACAAGGAGTAAGAAGTTCACAGTCCATGCTCTGCTGTTGTTTATGTAGACACAGTACTGGGCGGTGACGTTTCAACTGAGAACAAAGCAACTGCTGGAAATATACTGAACTCAGGCCATTAAAGTGTGGTATCTCAAAGACACTCTGCAGTGAGCCCTGGGGCATAGTCACCTTCAAAAGAGATAAAAGAAGTGGGGCTCCAGCCATGTGCTGCCAGCTCTCCAGGATCAGGCAAAAAAAACATGACAAGTGAAGCAGGTATGTTCTCCTACTCAGGAGTGGAAATACTTGGCCTTTATGTATAGGGAAGAACTACTACAGAAAGAATGGCAAGCATACCCATGTTTATAACAGCACAATTCATAATCGCCAAATCTTAGAAGTAGAATGAATTTTTTAAACACGGCATTTATGCACATGGAGTACTACTCTGTCATAAAAAAGAACAACCTTGAGTCATCTGTAGGAAAATGAATGCACCACGAGACCATAAAGTTAACTGTAATAAATCAGCTGCACGGGCTTAAATAGCACATGGTTTCTTTTATATGAGATCCCAAAATACAAAGAGCAAAACAGAAGAGAATAGGAAATGGACACATCTTTTGCAAAAAGAAGGGGGACCAAGAGATGGAGAGAGAGAGAAGGGCAGGGAATGAAAGGAGCTGAAAAAACAATAAAGACGTGTTATGTACATGTACCAACTCGCCAGAAGGAATATGATCATTATGTCCCATAAACATGTACTGATAAACAATAAAAACTGAAAAGAAAGAAAAGAGAATGGCAAGTAAAAGGGAATAATCTTGTAGAATGCAGGCTTATGACTCCTGCTTTATTGCTATTTCAGGTAACATTTGCAGCTATAAACTCTAACAGCAGACTGTTTCCTAATTAACAGGGAAATTATCTTGCTTTACCTTATTTCATCTATGTTCTACAGCATTACAAATAGGAAGTTAACAAACTCCCTTTTATTATTTAGTAATTCTTACATCTAAAGGTGAGGTCACGGTGATCACCAGCAACAGAGGGTGCTGACCTTACCTGGCCTACTCTGCTAAGGCCCACCCAGGTCTACAGAGTGCCTTTATTATCACCATCCCATATGATCTTTAGAATCACTGCAGTAAACACACAGGCAGGTGGTACCACATCCACCACTACCCATTTTAGACACAAGAAACTAACACAAGCAAGTGTCACATCGCTTGCTCAAGGGCAAGTGACGGAACTAGAATTGAAAACACTGGGCTTATAATTCCTAGCAGAAGTGTTCTGCTACTTTCTAAATTTGACAAAAGTACATTCTATATTGTTAAAATATTCCCCAAAGAATAAGAATTGCTCACTGCTCACTGGCCCAGTATTTTTTTTTAAAGAGAAAAGAACAAAAACAAAGACAATAAAAACAATACAGAATTTCAAAACAAGGTGATAAAAAATTAACAATGGATGTTGTATTACATACTGTTATTTTCAAAGTTGTTACTCAGATTACCAGATACAGGCATGTCAGATTGATCGAACAATTACACATTAACTGTTCCTTTCAATAAACCTATAGAAATTAGTAGTACAATTATCTTAGCTATCTTGTGTGTATATATACACATATTTTCCCCCTTTCTTCTTTCTTTTCTCTTTTCCCTCATTCTAGTTGTTCTTTCCTTTCGAGCAATCTTTCCCTTTCACAATATCTGTTGTACCTTTCAGATTTTATTTAGTCTTTCAGGTTCTTACACTAGGGAGACAGTTTTTATTTTGATTTTCTTTTTTCTTAAAAAATGCAGTCACCAAGAAAAATGAAGTTACTTGTGCAAAGCCTTGAAATAAGAGATAATTTCAGCTGAACTTACCATTATTTGTTATAGTATTTATGAAAACTTCAGGAAAGAGTCATGGAGGGAGATTTTCCCTCTAGCCCTGTTATCTAGTAAAACAAGAGATAATGCAATAGAACTAAAAACAATATCATACTGTATTAATACACAAACGGGTAGACAAATCATCAGCCTAAAACCAGACAGCAGTTAACACTGGCTACCAACAAGGCACAATACAGACCAGTGAACTGTTCAGCACATGGCATCAGAAACAAGGGCATCTGAGAGGAATAAAAATAAAATTGAATCTACATCTCACAATTTATGCAAAATAAATTTCAGTTTAAAGAATCAGCTGGTTATGGTGCTGCTCCCCTGTAACTCACTAAGTCCTCAGGAGGCTGAGGCAGGATTACCACAAGTTCAAGAACAGCCTCAGCTACACAGTGAGTTCAGGGCCAGTCTGATCTACATAGCGAGACCCTATCTCAAAAATCAAAACAAAGCAAAACAAAGAATCACACACATATAAGATAAAATCATATAACTAGTAAGGAAAAGGGATTTTTCAAAATCTCTTTTGTGGCCAAGCATGGTGGCACACGCCTCTAATTCCAGCACTTGGGAGGCTGAGGCAGGAGATTCTCTTGCCAGTTCGAAGCCAGCCTAGGCTACATAGGGAGTTCAAAGCCAGCCTGAACTACACAGAGAGATCCTGTTACCAGAAAAAAAATACAACAAAAAAGTTTTCAGTAAGGATTTCTAAAATATCCTAAGTTTTAGAAAATATAAAAGATGATATTTGACTATATTAAAGTCTAAAACTTTACTGTAATAAACAAGTAATCATTCCAGTGGGTTCCAGTACTACCGCAGTGCTGGTTTTCATATGCATTTCTCTGATGATAAATAAAGCTAAGTACTTTAATGTATATTTACTGGCCACCTTGAGGGCTTGTCTGGAGGTTCTCACAGGGAAATCCTGTTACATACCCTTAACCAAGGAAATGGTCCTCTTCTAACCAGGATGGTCGACCCCTTCAACCAAGCACACAGCTTCAGGAGGGACACACATGGAGCGGTGAGGGAGGACGGGGACACCGCCTAGCCAGTTGATCAGCCAAATCAACCCTGGCAATCAATGGGGGTACCGAAGTTGCAGCCAGATCGCCGCACATCATTACTGGCCATCTGGATTCCCTCTTTTGTGAGGCATTTTTGTTCTTTTTCCTACTAGATTGATATGCAGAAGCTTTTTAAAAAAATAAATACTGGACAAATCCTTGTGATTATACTGTATCTTCTATCATATGTTGGTTGCCATTTCACTTAGGTATGCTTTTTTTTTTTTGTCTTTTTGAGACAGGGTTTTGATATCCAGTCCAGGCTGGCCTTGAACTCATAAGCGCTCCTCCTGCCTCAGCCTCCTGAGTGCTGGTATTACAGACCTGTGCCACCACGCCCAGCCCACAGTTTTAAAAAGAAAAGGCCATTGTCATATAATTACAAAATGCTTATAATGGACACACAAGAAACTGAACTAGGTCTGCCTCTAACAGGAGTTAGGAAGGGAAGTAGCATAGGGAAAGAAGGTACAGGAGGCATAATTTCACAGTATTCTCTTGCAGTATTTTTTACTGTGTATGTGTTTTAAGTCAAAAGGGGCTACAAACATAACCCGTTAATAGAATGTTTGCCTAGCATGCGTGAGGGGTCTGATTCCCAGTACCACCACCACCACCACAAAAAACAAAATTAAGTCAAAAGAAAGACCCAATACAGCTTCCTCTGACTAAGTAGATGCTACCCTTTTCTCTCTAATCTTATTCTAAAATAGTAACAATGACAAAAATAAGGTTAAGATGCTGTGCTCTAGTCAGTCGCCTTACTCTTGGGTCCAAGCACTCCACGTTCTAACTGCAAGGCAGTCCAGTACAGACATGATGAGCAATTGTGGTAGTCAAACTGAGTTATAACTCAGCAACTTCACCGCTATTTGTATAACCTCAGCAACTTCTAGCTCCTTCAGTGCTCAGCTGTCTCATCTGCAAAATGGGGAGGGTCACAGTTCCTACCATGGGGCCTCTGAGACAGCCCCGCTGCTACCCAACTCTTGGATTTCAAAGCTTCCTGTCCTTGAATGTAAGCTGGATTTTATTACTATTTCTAGGAAACAGAACATGGCAGGAACGATAAGGTCTCAATTCCAAGATTAAGTACCTCTTGTTGCTCACTTACTCTGACAGAAGGCTGTACCCATGCTATGAACTATTCCATTAAGAGGTGCACAGGCCAGGGAACCAAAATCTATAGCCAAGAGACAGTGAGTGGGACCCAGGGCCTGGCCAGCACTGTGTGAGGGAGTCTGGAAGCAGATACTCCGAGAGCTGGGCTGGAGGTAAGGTCAGAGTCCCAGCAGCCACCTGACTCAGCCTGTGAGACTCTGAACCACAAGTGCCCAGCTAAGCCAGGCCTGGATTCCTAAGCAGGAATGTGGATGATAATACATGTCTGTTGTTTTAATACGCTACATTTTGGAGTAATTTGTTATGTGGGATTAAATAAATAACACAAGTATCCTCAGAAAGCTGCAAGGATGAAAAAAAAAAATAATACATGGACAGCTCTGTAAAAAGAGCTAGGCACAGAGCAAGTGCTCAAAACATGGTGCCCACTGTGCTATGATAGAAACCTAACAGTCTGTGAAAGTAAAGTCTGTAAAAATAGAAAAGAACTGGCAATGTAAAAGTAATATTATGCAATCAGCACTAAGGAGCTAGAGGAAGACCCTACCAACTCCAAGAAGCCAGAAAGACAAAAAAAAGACACCCTACCAAGGGTCAACCTGCAGAAATGTCACTACCACTGCTTATAGTGTACTGATACTTACTAAAGCAGTAGCACAATGCAGAAATTAAGATCAAAGAAATACAGCTGCTGAGTCATTCCATAAAAATTTAAAAGCAGACAACTAAATATAGCCAAGTCCCAACTCCTCATAAATATCAAAACCAGACATCAATTCTAAAAGGTGAAAAAGTCTTGCACCAAGCACATCCTCAGGATCATCTCGGGAGTCTGATAAACCAATATCTACAAACAGAGCTTCTTACGTAGGTAGTCATCTTACCCTCCAGTACTTGGAGCACACAACCAAAAGTGATCTCTGTGTAAATGCACAAAAAGAGATGCTTTGACAGTTCTGGCAATAAATTGGTTTGGATTCCTCCTCAAATATTGGCTCAGTATCCTGAAAAGAAAAAGATTTGTAGCACTTCAGGAATAGCTTGATTGTCCATTGAAATTATCACACAATGATAAAGACACCAACATGGAATAAAACAATCATTTTATGTCCATCATTTTATTTTGTTCATTTCTACCGCTCAGGTAAAAGCCAAGGTAATAAAAAAGAGCAAAACCATACTCTAAAAATAGCATGGTATGCAAGGTCTTTGGTACAAAGATACCCAGGCTTTAAATCCTGATGAGAATTGGTGTCACCACTCTGGCAAAGCTAGATGATAAAATTTTGCATTAATACTAATTTCTATAGCTATATGTGCTTTAGTTTAAAAACAAACAAACAAAAACACCTAACCCAGGCTAGGTAGTACAACCTGTTAACCCAGCATCCAAGAGGCTGAGGCAGGGAGATAACTGTGAGTTCAAAGCTAGCTTGTGCTACAGAGTGAGTACAAGGCCAGCTTGAACTACATAGGGAGTCCTTGCTTCAAAACCCATTAAAAAAAGAAATAATTTCTAAAAACCTGATCAATTCTTCTAGTTTCCCTTAAAATCATTATTAATGATCCCTAAAATTTCCCTAAGTTAGCAGTACCATCAATATTATCACAAAATTGATCTGCATCTTCTTACTGATAAAAATAGAACAAAGAATTTCAGTTCACAGAACTGAGATAGGAGGACTAAAACTGGTTTTTACATACTTTTTCTTTTGCTGTATTTTTTTCTTCAGCAAACTACCTCTGAATTTTTAAATTAAAAGCAGTTGAAGAAAACTCCACTTCTTTTATGCTTCTCTACCTCATACTGTCTAATATGTTTCTCTGTTCCATAACCCAGGTGAAGCAGTCCCCATCAAAAATGAAAAACCAGGTCCACTCACACAACATAATAAGGAACACTCACAGTGTGTCCCTAAGACTAATTTTAAAAGAAAGCCCCTTCCTTCCCTTTTAAGAAAAGAAAGGGAAGGAGCACACCATTACTAAAACTCCAGACTACTTGTTTCTCTCACCTGCATGCCACTTATTTCCGAGGTAACGATCCACACCTTCAAGATGCCCGTGGCTGACAGTGCTACCACCGTGTCCTCTAAACCGAGAAGCGACGAAAAGACCAGTTACAATTAAGATAGTTCACTTTCACAAAACTAAACTGGCATGTTTCGTAGTTACAAGAAAAAGGTAATGTCTTACTTCATGAAATATAAGCCAGATTTTGAAACATATGTTAATAAAGATCACCAATAATTTGGAATGCAAGGAAAGTTATTTCAAGTAACTTGATTTTTAAAAATTTTTAACCAACACATTTTTTGAGGATTTCAAAGGCCCTTTATTACTATGGTAACAAAGAACATTTATTCTTCAAAATTCACAACATGGATGAGCAAGTTCACTTTATTTCTCCAAGGCACTCATTCCCTCTTTCCCCAGCTACCATGCCTGCCTTCCAAATATTTTACTGTACATTACACCTCCATAGCCTGTTATCAGTCAAGAGACAGTCACACGTGATATTAGGCTACATATATTTGCTGGTTTTCATCCACAGTTCCTGGCTCACAACTCCCTTTTAAAGACAGGCTACAAAAACTAGGATTTCTCTTCCTCAAGATAGGTAATTGTCATAAAGAAATTCTCTTACCTACCTTGTCTGATAGCAGATCACAAGACCCCTACATCATAAGAGGTTCTGTCCCCTACAAACCCCAAAGTTTGGGGTTCAGAGAGCTTCTGGCCAGTTGAACATATAGAGGACCCTAGAAAGTGGCACACTCAGAGGGGGGCTGTACACCCCCTTCATGCCCCTATCCCATACCACGTCACCCTATGCATCACTTCACCTGTATCCTTCATAATATCCTTAACTGGTCAGCATGAGTGTTTCCTCAAGCTCTGCAAATCCCTAGCGCAAACTAACTGAACCTAAGGAAGAGGTAGTGAAGCATCTGATTGGTACCTGGTCAGTGAGAAGCACACGTAAACATGGACAGGCAGGGATGGTCTTGGAAACTGAACCCTCAGAACCCGACACTATGTCCAAGTAAACAATATCAGGGCTGAGCTGAAGTTAAGGACAGCTGGCTGGTGTCTGCTGCACAGCTGATTGCTTGTGTGCTGGGAGGGTGAAATCCCCACACCTGCTGAGGTAACAAGAACTTTCATTAAACTTCATCTCCTCCCTTTGCATTTGTCCATATGAAATGGAAACACTAGTGAGTGACAAAACAAATCTCCAAAAATACACACGTGAAGCTAAGGGTCTTCCCATCATACCCTCAAGGGTTATGACATGCTTCCTCCACCTCAGAAAAATCGATCACTGACTTCTCACAGCTCCTGATTCATCCCACACAATGAAGATAATCTAACACTTTAAATATTATGATAGGTATGGTGGCGCACACCTATAATCCCACCACTTGGGAGAGTGAGGCAGAAGAATCTTTGTGAGTTCAAAACCTGCCTGGGCTATCTAGTAAATTGAAGGCCAGCCTGAACTACACAGCGAGATGCTATCTCAAAAAAAAAAAAAAGAAAGAAAATCAAGTGAATTAAAGAGATCTTTCTGGGGCTGGGGATTTAGCTCAGCGGCAAAGCGCCTGCCTGGCAAGCGCAAGGTTGTGAGTTTGGTTCCCGGTACCGGAGGAAAAAAAAAAAAAGAGAGATCTTTCTGAGAGAGAAGACAGATCATAAATTTTTTGAATCATTGTTTCTTAAATATATAAACATAATCACAAAATAGTCATTTTGATAAATTACAGAACTTCAAAGTAAATTAAACAACAAGTCATGGTGCTGAATTTCCTAAAGGGCATATTATACTGACCTTGTGTCCGGTGGGATCGAATAATACTCATGGAGCTAATCCAGTCTGGTGATATCTTTGATACTAAGGAGTATAGTACCTCAAGGCTGGTTGCATCTACAACAAGGATTTCAGGGTAATGTCCATGGCATAAAAGCCTTCCTTCTCGCTGATTTCCAACAGAGAACTGGTAGAACTAGATTCATGTTCAAATGAGAAAGAATTTTAAATGTTCTTTAGACATTTGAGTAATATACACCCATCAGGATTATGATAATATTCTATTAAATGCTAATCCCCTCCAGTAATATTTCAGATAGGTACTATATAATACATATCACAGGTCTGTAGTATACACATACACATATACAAGTTACATTAATATTTTTAAATATCTAACAAAAGCTTTGTTGTCCTAGTATATCCTCCTTTTAAAATTGTTTTGCAGAATTCATGCTAATTCTTTTTAATACTCACTTCAGCAGCACATATACATAATTCTTTGTAACCCTACCTCTACAATCTAAAAATGGAACTTTTAAAGGCTAGGGATGTGGCTTGGTGGTAGAATGCTCAACTAACATGCACAAGACCCTGGATTCAATCCCAGCACAGCATAGAAAGATAAAAAGACTTTTGCATTAATTAATAAAATACCTGAATAAAATTAGCTTCACAAATCAAAAGGGAAGCTCAGGTGGTTCAAAAACTATATGAATTATAAATGAATGAGAATAGGTGAATGAAAGCTGATAATTACTAGTTATAGCCAAATAAAATTTAGAAGTAAAAAATAATTAATGTTCATATATAGTATAGTCTACCATGTGTGACAGCACACACTTGTAATCCCAGCACTTGGGAGGCTGAGGCAGGAGGACTGCTGCAAGTTTGAGGCCAGCCTAGACTACATAGTGAGTTCAAGTCCAGCTTGGACTACGTAGCAAGACCCTGTCTCAGAAAAAAAAAAATATAATCAAAATTAAATTCTTTCGGACAAAAGTATGAAACAACTATGTAAATGTAGTGTGCATTACACTTATAGAAGAGAAAGAGAACTCCATGATTCGCTAATGTGAAGAACTACTCAAAAAGATAGCATACATCAAAGAGCAGAGAAAGAGTAACTATCAAGCAAGACAATTATTCCAAAGACCTGCCTTTCCTCAACTTCATAAAACTGATTCTTTTAGCCGATTGCTTCTCTGTGAGGATTTTCAGAGGGAAGAAGTCACTAAATGAATCACACAAGGGCAAGCAAGGCAAAGGGCAGAGGGCAAAGCTATAACCACTCCACTTAGGGGAGATAACTGGGAAATCCTGGGTTGAGGCTGTTTCCATATTCATTAGTCCTATTTTCAGAGCTGAACTCTGTGTGCGGAGGGGCTGCGATCTTTTCTTAATTATGACGTACCTGTATGAGAATGAGTTCAACTTTGTTCATACAGTATGAACACTGATCCTGGAACACAATCACATGTGAAAGTAACCACTAATGTAGGAGTGGGAGGCACCTAATAAAATGAAGACTATCGCAAGCGGTCACCTATAGATCTCAAAAAACACAACACACAAAGGGAAGTTCCCAGGGACTGCCAGGGGTTGCATATAATAATGTGGCTGGAGCAGGGCTGAGCCACTAAGGGAAGGATGTGTCAAAATGGAAAGGAAGCAAATTGTCAATGTTCATCCAACCACAGCCAGGAGAACCCTATACTACAGGGTCAGAAGTTAGGAGGTCACTAAAGGACAGCTCTCTCCTGTGGCGCTCACCTTTAATCTCTGCACTCCTCAGGAGGCTGAGGAAGGAGGGCCATCATGAGTTCAAGACCAACCTGAACTATGCAGGAAGACCCTGTCTCAATCAAAAACAAAACACAAAAAAACTCTATTGGGAAGGCATATTTTATTACAATTGCTTGACTAAATACCTCCCACTTTTTGTGTGAAAGTCACACTCCTAATCTGAGCACTAATTCAGCTTCCAGAACACTTTTTTCTTCTTAGACAGGGTCTTGCTATGCTGTTCAGGCTGGCCTTTAGCTCACTTTGTAGCCCAGGTTGGTCTCGAACTTGCAGCGATCCTTCTACCTCAGCCTCCCGAGTGCTGGAATTACAGGTGTGCACCACCACGCCTGGTAGAACACTTTAATTTTGCAAAGAAAGTGTCCTAAATGGAGAATTAAGTTTTCAAACGCTAAAAAGGAATGCCTCATCCACATGGTAAATTAATAAATTGGCATTCCCTTAAGATTTCAGTAGGCACCAGTATCAGCAAAGTCTATCATCTCTGTGAATATGTGTAAAAACTTAAATTAATTTTTAAAACTCTTTGCACACTGTGCCTTCTAATTTGTGTTAGTGTAAGTTTCCTTTCTTGACAAATTATGTGATTGGTTTGTTCTAAGAGAGGCAGTAGGACGTAAGAGAAAGAGCATGGCTCCCAGTCAGACAAACTAAGAATGACACATTGCGAAACTTGGGCAACTCATTTAACCTCCCTAGGTCGCCCCATCCTTTTATGTACAATTGATACACTCCTATTTACTCTGTAAAGATGTGGGGAGGACTGTATGAAATACACTACAAATTAATCCACACAGTATTTACTCTATAAATATGACTTCTCTTTCCATTGAGAACATAATTGATCATATATTTCTATATATGTTATCATTTTCCCAACACAGTAATTGAGTAAATTAAAGGAGAAAAAAATATGACAATTATAAAAAAAACTAAGAAAAAATAGCAGGAAAATATGTAAGAGATTACAAATTTCAATAAAATATATTTTAAGCCAGGTATATGAAATGGTCATTTCTTCTACATAGTTGGAAAGTCTTTAAAAATGAGCCCAGTCAGGTGTTGTACTGCCAGCACTTGGGAGGCTGAGGCAGTAAGATCTACCAGAGTCCAAGGTCAGCCTAGGCTACACAATGAGTTCAAGGCCAGCCCAAACTGTTTCCAAAACAGAAAAGAAAAGCCCAAAAGCCAATTATCTGATTAAAAAAGCCAGTCAATTTATGTTAATCACAAATGGACTCATGCCAGCCTTGCCAGGAAACAATTCATTCTGACAACCTAGTACACTCACCCTAGCAGTAGAGGAGTTCTGCTGTAGTCTAGGTCTTAGTTTGAACCTCAGAGGTCCGTGTCTTAAAGGCTTATTCCCTTGCGTGGCTCCACTGGGAGACAGCAGGGCCTCTAGGAGTTAGGAGGTCTAGTGAGAGGTCCTTCAGTCATCACAAACATTACTCCGAAGAGTACTCTGGAACCCAGTCTCTTCCTCTTCCTTTCCTAGCCATGAAGTGAGTGGCTCCAAGGCACCACTCCCTAGCACTGCCATGTGGCACCTCCAACAGAGGCCCAAAGCAACTGGTCTAGCTGATCATGAATTTGAACCTCTAAAGCCGTGCACCACTGGGGACAGTGGTGCACGCCTATAATCCCAGCACTCAAGAGGCTGAGCCAGGAGGACCACTTTGAGTTCGAACCCAGCCTGAGCTACATAATGAGTTCAAGGCCAGCCTGAATTACACAGTGAGATCTTGTCTCAAAAAAAGATAAAATAAATAAAATTTTTTTAAAAAGCCACCATCCAAAGTAAACCTTTTTCTCTTCAGAAGCTGATTATCTCAGATACTTGTTATGGCAACGGACAGCTGATTAACATCAGCTCTTATCCAGGTAACCAGGTCACCCCTGAACAGCAAACTCAGCCATGGTAATCAGCTCACTCTACACTTTTCTTACTAGTCTCCCCTACTTTATAACACTTCTTAACTGTACCATCTTATGAGGAATATTTTTACAATTCTAGTCTTCTTGTCCCATTACTCCTCCCCAGGATTTTTCACATAAAAATACAGGCTCAACGTTGTAAAACATTTTAAACTACATACTCATAATAAATCATGCTGACTTAAAAACAGATACTAACCTGTATGCCAGTATGTGTACAGGCTAATTTTGTAAATTCAATGCATCTGCCATCACTCACATCCCAGAGGCACATCTCTCTGTAAAGCACAATAACAGCTAATGTTGAACCTGATTTATAAAGCACTGTTCAACTTTGTCACAGTGGTTTAAAATTAATCTTCTATTAAAATTAATACATTACAGAACATGGGCGTGCAGGACTGTAATCCTAGCACTCAGGAGCCCGAGGCAGGAACATCATCAAGAGTTTCAGGCCAGCTTGGGACATGTAATGAGTTCAAGCCAGCCTGAACTGGCTTGAACATAGCAGGACCTTGTGTCAAAAAAACTACAAAAGAGGACTAAAACTCCCTATTTACCATATACTGCTACTAGTTATAATGATATAAAGATACAAAAGGAAAAAAGAAAACAAACATTATATGCTAATCCATAAAGCCTTTTTATCAATTAGAAATAATTTTCAAAATGTCAAAATGTGGAGCGGGGGGAACCTGACCAAAAAAAAACAATACTTACCCACTTTCCGACGCACTTACAATGTACTGTTTGTCACCAGAAGCACAAGCTTTAGACAAGCAAGTGATTGAAGCTGTATGGCCAAACAACAGTGCTCGAGGATTAATCTAGAATACAAAAACATGCCAGTGTAAGTACCAAATAAAAATGTTAATCCTTCAGTAAGTAACCTTGTTAAGTATTCAATATAAATATAGGATATATATTTGAAAAAAATTGCTCAGAACACTAAAAACTAAGAGCTGTCAAAGAGTGAACTCTAATCCATGTAATGCTCACCATTACCCCTACCTTCTGAGGTAGAAATGAATCAAGCAGGAGAGATATTACTTGAACAATATTATATAGAGAATGGCAGACCAGGATTCAAACCAATGCAATCTTAAGCACTAAACTCTTTATTATACTAGGAAACCAAGTTAAGAATTTGAATTAATGTGTAAAATACCGTAATTTGAGTTCACTTATTTTCAAAATAATCACTGATCTGAAAGCACTTTAAGAGTCTCTCGATTCAGTCTCAAACACAGCAAACAGAAGACAGATCACTTTCCAAATGTTGATATCAATGTTGTATGCCAAGAAGAATGACCTTCATGCACCACTGATTTAAAGACACAATGCCTACCAGAAAGGATGGCTTAATACAATTCTAAAACAGGCAGGCAATCAGTGCCCAGATTTATCTAGTTTGTACCAAATGGCATATTGGTTCAGGTTACTTCCAGACCTCAGGCTACTTTACAATATTTAATACATATAAACAGTATTTGTAACATACATAAAATAGAGACTAAATTGAATAGCCATATACTCAATATACAATTTAAGAAATGGAATATGGCCAATGTCTTCCAATCCCCTTCATACTTCTTCATGTCAATTTTGCAAATAATTTGTCTTAATTCAATTAGGAGAGCCAAATTGTTCAAAATTAAACAGTCCGTGGTAAGAAGTACTGAAACTGTTCTATGGTTCTGGTATGTGATTACTAAAAAGGAAATTCGAAAGCAAATTCGTCTTGGCCATCCTTTGCATAGTTAAAATTAAGAAAAAAAAAATCAATCACTGCTCATATTTGGAACAGGTCTAGAAAGCTTTCTCATACATGCAACCCCTAACTCTATTCAGAGATTCAGTATTGTTCTGCTGGAAAAGAAAGAACAAGCCAGGTGTGGTGGTACATGCCCATAATCCCAGCACTTGGGAGGCTGAGGTAGGAGGATCATTGAGAGTTTGAGACCAGCCTGGGCTACAAAGTGAGCTCAAGGCCAGCCTGAACTGCATAGCGAGACCCTGTCTCAAAAAGACAAAAAAAGGAAGAACACTCTCGGTCAATTCTTTAATGTCCTTGACAAAATCAAATTGACCAATTTGTTTTATATCCAAAGTATATCACTGCCACAAAGTTTAATTTTCAATCATAATAGAGTTACAAAAGCTAGACTTTCACCATAAAAATCTAGAAAAAATAAGCAAAAAATACATGATACATGATATCTAAACAGAGGACAACAGGCTGAAAACAACTGTGATGCCTTGAAGGCAGGAAAACACACGAAGAGACCTATAATCACCGTGGATGTCCTGAACCGACCAGCCTAAAGGCTGGGGGAACCCCATACTACTGCAATGAACTGGTGAGACAGAGATCAAAGTTCAGGGAAGAGGAGGACCAGATAAAATGGAGCTACACAAGAAGAAGGTAAGGAAAATTTGCATGGGATCTCCTTAGGTCTAGTACTTCACTCTTAGCCATGCACATATATAGTTATATTCCTCCAAACGGTAACAGAAAACGGCTTGGAAGCTAGAAGCTGTAAAACTCCCAGAGCTCACACAAAAGCAAGATCTACAGTGCTGACAGGGCCAGAGACTAGAGAGTTTTTGCTGAGCATTAAGGCATTGGGAAAAGATTCCAGAAGGGTCACATCTTAGGAGTACACAACAAAAGTAGCTCTAGAACAAAGCCTCCTCTCAGACATACCTAAAAAGATTTACGCTGAGTTTGGATTTTTCTTTTTCTTTTCTTTCTCTCTTTTTTTTTTTTTTTGTTTGTTTTTGGTTTTCGGCTTTGATTTGAGACAGCATCTCACTATGTAATTCAGGCTGGCCTTGAACTCATTAAGCAGCCCAGGCTGGCCTTGAACTTGCAGCAATCTTCCTGCCTCAGTTTCCCAAGCACTGGCATTATACGCATGAGCCACCACACCAGGCTTAAAGTGGTTCTCTGAAAAGATCAAGAAAATCAATAAACTCTAGCTAAAATTGATCACAACAGAGAGAAGGCATAAATTACCAATATCAAAAAGAAGTCATCTCTATAAATCTATAGACATTAACATAATAAGGGGATATTATGGGCACTGTACGCTAATAATTTTGACAACTTAGGTCAGAGTCAGCAAACCCTTTCTGTAAAGGTCTTTACAGGCCATATATGGTCTCTATAACGTATCTGTTTGTATTGTTTCTTCTTAAAGTCTGCGAAAATGTAATCACCGTCTTTAACATACGAACTGCACCAAAATACTTCTTGATTCTCAACACCAGAAAAACAACAATCAAAAAAGAAAGAAAAAACCCTAAGAAAACCTGAATAGCCCTCTATATTTTATATGAATTAAATATGTAATTTAAAATGTTTCCCTCAAAGATGGCAGAATGGTGAACAGCCGAGAACCAGCTTCTCCACGAGTTGGTGAGCTGACACTGGAATACAGCAAGCAATGTGAGGAACAGAAGAAGTAGGGAAGTGGGTCCCCAGGACCCAGCAAGGAGCTGAAGCAAGAATTGAAGACCACAGGGAGAGTAAAGAGAGAGAGCTCAATGCAGAAGGAGGAGGCGGCAGGAGGTGGCATTCTCCCTGATGCCTGACTCACTGTGTGGGAGGAGTTGCTAGAACCTGTTGGCACACGTGACTGCAGGAGACCCCAGAGGCTTCCACAGAGAAATGCACCAGTGGGACAGAGTAGTGGATGCAGCAGCCTGCAGTGGCTGGTGAGTTACGTGGGTGCAGATGTCCCCCAGGGAGGATGAATGGCCAGTAGTCACCTTGGGAGGGGCAACTGAGCTCAGAACTCAGAGAAGCTACAGGCTGGCTCTTTGTCAGCTGTTCCTCAGACAAAAGACTAATATCTAGAACATATAAAGAATAAAAAATCAGAGCCCCTCAAATATAAAGGTCAAATCAAAAATAGGTATCTGAAATGAATAGCTACTTCTCAGATGAAGAAGTAGAAATGGCAAACAAATATATGAAAAAATGTTCAATATCACTGTTCATTTGAGAGATGCAAAACAACACTGAGATTCCATCTCACTCCAGAAAGGATGGCTTTTAACAAGAAATCAACCAGTAACAATTGCTGGCAGGGATGTAGGGGAAAAGCAACTCTTGTCCACTGTGGGTGGGAGTGTAGACTAGTGCAACCACTGTGGAAATCAGTGTGCAGATTCCTCAAGAAACTAATACTAGAAGTTCCATTTGACGCATTCATTCCCCTTCTTCGTATCTTCCCAAAATAATTAAAAGCATCATACCAGACTGATATATACACATCTATGTTTATAGCGGCACAGTTTGTAACAGCTAAATCTTGCAAACAGCTCAAATGCCCATCAACCCATGAATGGATAAAGAAGACGTAGTTTTTTTACACAATGGAGGACTGCTCTGCCATAATGAAGGATAAAGACCAAAAAACTTGAGATATTTCTAGCTAAATGGATACACCTTAAGACTACACTCAAAGTTAATTTATTATTTTACACGTGTGAAAACACACTGTTTCTTTGGTGTGAAAAATTGAAAGTGTAAAGAAAGACAAAATATATAATAGATACTGGGAAATGGGAAGAAAAGATTCAAATGGGTAGGGTAACGAGGGGAGGGGAAGCAGAAAGGGAGAAAGGAAGGAAGGGACAAGGAAAAAAGAATAGAGGAGAAAATGGAAACAAAGCTTTTGTAAACGAAGAGGGAAAGATGGGTTGAATGGAGGGAAGGGGAAAGCGGGGGAAGCAAGATCTATCATGTGTAGGTACACATTCCCTATGATGAATGTTATCATTATCTATATCTAAAATGTACCAATAAACAAAATAAAATAAAATTCTTTCCCTCACAAAAAATGCTTTCATTAGTAAATTCCAGCAAACATTTAAGGAAGAAATAATCCTAATCCTACACAAACTTTCCAAAAAATAGAGGACAATAAATACTTCTAAATTCATTGTATATGGCCAGCATATGATCTTGATTCCAAAACCAAGTAATGTTTTTAAAAAGCACTTCAGATCATTATAACCTATTACTCAAGACTACCTCTCTCAAAGAAAATTTCTAGTACACCTGTAACAAATGGAATCTAACAATATAGAAAATGGCAACACACCATGATCAAGTGGGCCTATCCTGAGAAGTCAATGTTAATTTATTATTTGAAAACCAACGTAATCCACCTCATTAAGAGAACACTAGAGAAAAACTGATCATCTTCAAAGCATATTTTAAAAAATTCAAAAAGCTTCATGATAAAAAATACACTAAGCAAATAAAGAACAAACGGGTAACTCAACCTGATAAAATGCCTCTATGAAAAACCTAAAGCTAACACCACACTTTGTGGTGAAAGACTGAATGTTTTCCCCCAGAAACTGGCAACATGGTATGCATATATGTTCCTGCAACAATAAACTATGTACCAGAAGTCTTAAAAATAAGGCAAGTAATTATCTACGAATATGACAATTAAAAAGGCATATATACGGTAAAGGAAAAAGTAAAACTACTTTTATGCACAGACAACATAATCAGATATAAAGAAAATTCTAGGGTAACTAGAAAAAAAGTCTTCTAGCACTAATAAATGCATAAAGTATAGTCATAGTACAGCAAGCCAAACAATCAAAAAGCAATTATATTGTTAAATACTGACAATGAACAATTGTAAAGTACAACTAACATATGGTTGTACCATCCACTGTCAGATGCAAGCATGAACTTACAGAAATGTAACTGTTGTGACTCAAATCTGGATGTCCCCCCAAAGCCTCATGTGCTCACAGCTAGGGCTTTGGGGGTGACTGAATTATGGGTGTATGATGC